AGAACATACTTGATGAACATTCGAGAAGAAAGATAAACAGAAGTCCTAATTAAACTGCACTGAAAATATATGCTAGAACTATGTCTTTTAACTTTATCACTTAGCTTGGAAAGAGTTAACTATATTTTGAGGTTCCAACCTTGTACAATTCCCACACTGGATAAATTACCCCATAGAAAAAAAAGACAGCTTAAAAAAGCAAAAAAAGAAAAGAAAAGGGAAAAAAGAAGTAGATACATAGTTGACTTGCATGAATGTTACTCTTTTATACAATAATTTAGAAGTATTTTCATGTCAAATCTTTTAGAGGTGCAGAAATACCTGGTATTTGTTGCACTTTTCTTCATTTTTATAAAAAAAATTAAGTAGCTTTTACCATTTTTTTTAATGTTTTGGAGAAGGAAGTTCAAGGAATCTATCCAGTTCACTAATGTTAACACAGCCTTTCATATGTGAAAGTTATGAGGAAGTTAAGAATCAACTATGAACTTGTCAAGTTCTGCTACCAGACAAAAAGTTCACTTCCCAGCTCTTCACAGAAATGAAAGCTAAATATGACAATAGGAGTAGTTTACCTCAAGGCAGTTTAAGGTGTAGGTTTACAATCCATGAATATCTGTGTGGCATGTGCATTTCTACTTGGTGAAGGTTATCAGACATTCCTGCATTCCCACAGAGTAAGCCTGTTTTACCAACTATTACTGATACGTATGAGCTTTTCCTGTGTTAATAGAAACATACTCTTATATTCTGTACTCTGTAAATAATAGTGCTTGATCTGCCTTCTGAAATCACTGCTTTTTTTATTTATTTATTACCTTCAAAAATAGTTCTGTTTTCTCTGTTCCAGTTCTAAGATGGTTGGTTGCATTTATTCTTTATATTCTTTGCTTCCTATACATATTTCTTTACCTTAAAGGTCCCATCATCTTATTATTAACCCTGTTTTCTTTATGATAAAGAGACTGAGAAGAGAGAGATTAGTTTTGGTTCCAGAAAACCGAAGTTTTTCATTACCTCTTATTGAAAATTCTAAATAATTCTTCTGGTGGTGAGCAGCTCATTGGGATCTTTCCAGAAACCTTATTGTGCATTATACTGCCCTATATCATCAGAAGTGTTAGTCCCTGACATTTGTAATGATGGCAGTTACTAATCTTCTCAACAATATTTATCAAGAAGTCAGGAAAAAAGAGATCTTCAAGTTGCTGTAACTTTAAAATAGGTTCCATTTTTTTCTCCAAAAGCCTATGCTAATTCTATGAATATATTTCAAAAAGATTATGATAATAGATAGCAATACTGGAGATTTGTTTTTAACCTTATTTTATGGAAGAAGTCAGTGAGTAATAAGATTTACTTTTTGAATTGTAAGGTTGGTTAGTCAGGAAAGGATAGAAGTTTTTTCCCTGTATTATCAACAGATAATAGTTAACTCATATTTTATTGATATGTGTGTGTGGTAGTGATTCTTTCATAACATATTTATGTATTACAGGTTAGAGTTTGGTTTAATGTAGCTTTTAGAAGAATCTTATGTACCACTATTTCTTAAAACCAATAATTATGATTTATTTTTATTTATTTATGTATTTTACTTAGAGGTAAAAATAGAAATTTTTATATTAAAAGACTTTCTTGAAAATAAAGACTATTTTGAAATTCTGAACATGTATAAAACATGTTCTTCCTAGTCAGATGAGGCTCTAGAATGTGGATTTTATTAGCTGAATGTAATATCATGAAAATGTAACATGGTTTTCTAATGGTCTTGATAAATGTAAGTAATATCAAGCCATTACCTCTCAGGTGAGGGCTTTATGCTACACTAATACATATGTACAAAGTGAACCATTTAAAATACAATTCTTTTGCGTAACTTAACAGTAGTGAAATGCCTTTTAGTAATGTTCTTTTTTTCACTACAAAACAAAGCCCTGAATTTCTGGCCCAATCTTTTTGACATTGCTGAAGTTCTCTAAAGCACTTGTCTTGTGGAATTGCATAAAAGCATTCTGCAACCATGGTTGATATTTTCAGGAAGGAGGTCTGCTCCGGACAGTGGATTTATTAGGAATTACAGATGGAGTAGAAATTACTTGGAAGTAACTATTTGTGCTATCACTTACTGATTTTACAGTAAAACTAGTCTACAGAACTGGAGGTGAAAGCACAATTTGTTAAAAACAGCATTACCAAATCTTTTGAGATGTTTCTGTCATCATATACTGGTCTGTCTCAAAGAAATAAAGTCCCACTTGCTCTCTTGGCACCACATAATAAATTGACGGATGTAGTTCAGTTGGGGAGTGAAAATGCATTGAAAATAATGGACCATAACATTTTAGGCTTAACATTTATTCATAGATGATGCAATTAAATAAAACAGGCATTAACTTCAAGGTCAGTCAGTGTAGTAATAAAAGTGAATATTTTAATTGAATTGTAATTGCTTCCCATGGATACATGTAAGTTAAGTAAAATAGATGTCAGTGCTGCAAACTATAATTCCTAATTAATTTCTTAATTCTACATACAGTCATCCAGGCCCTGGACCTTGTTGTTGGTTTATCCACCCATCCAGCTATCTTCACATCTAGTTATACTTTGGAGGATGTAGTACTAAGAATTTAGAATACATTGTTTTTCTCTTTAGTCTAAACCATTTCAAGAATCTGAATCAATCTACTCCTTTGTTTAAAGAAAAAACGTACCAAATAGAATTATGGATTTATAATAACTGTTTTGTAAGTATGGTTCTAGATACTTTATTATACTAATTGTAGCAATATACATAAAATTTCACTGATGCATGCATACTATTAGAGATTTAAGATGTGGATTACTGGTTCTGCAAATTATGGGTTACATTGGTTCTTGATGCCTTTAACAGCTAAGACAATCTCTGTTCAATCACAATACAAACTTATTGAAAACTGAAATAATATTTTTCAAAGAAAGACAAGCTGTCCAGAAACAGAATTCTGCTGAGAAGCAGAAAGGGTACACTGTGCTTCCAGAGATTTTCATGTAAGTGTGGGATATTACTAAAGAGTTTTACCTGTAGTGTATACACAGAGAATTTATTTGTACTTTGTAAACTATTTATATCATAGTTGCTTTTGAATTATTGTTTTGTGTTCATTAGGAGACAGAACAGTAAGTATATCTGTGATATCAAAGAGAACTTTGTGAAAGAAATGATACGTTAGTGTGTTTGGTTCTGACAACTTTTTCCCTTCTCACATGTTTGTAAACCTTGGTTTAAATTTAAAGGAAGTCAACTTGATTTTATCAAGGAGAGGGGACTTACTTATATTAGGAAAGCAATGATGTTAAGGAAGAATGTTAATATAAATGTGTGAAATGAGTAATATGACACTCATTTGTTTATTTTAAGAGAAATTGCTTGTTTGGCCTATCCCATTGCAATCAAAGACATAATGCTAAGCTGGTATAAATTGGAAGAGATCACCAGAATCATTTGGACTATTGAAATTGAATGAATATATTTCAAAATTTTTTCCCCAAGAATAAATTATCATTATTGTATATCTAGCACACACATTTTAGTCTGTTAATAAAAAACAATAAACCAATATGAAAAAGGAATAAAGAGGGGGAAAAAACCTCAGTCTTCTTTCACTTTAATTATTAAGCAGTTCTAAAAGCATTCCCCCAGATAGTAAGGGAATTTTTAATGTGCATTAATGAAATATTTAGAACTTTCTTAGTGTTTTGAAATCTCATTCACTCTAACTTATTTTAGTTTTTAAATATACCAAGATCATGATTGTAAAAATTGACATATCAGCTATTTTAACTCACCAGTGCCTTTATATAACAGTGTACTGAACATTTATGTAACAGCTTTCATCATCAGTGATCTAAAGTGCTTTGCAAGGTACATACTTCAGAAATTGCTTCTGAATTGAGTAATTCTGGTGGCAACTCTTTAATGATACCTATTATTGTATAAGCAGTAGAATAGGAAGAAATGGGCAAGTGTTGCTATCATTACAAAAAAAAAATACAAACCACAATAACTAAGAGTAGTAAAAATGTAATAACTGAAAATTTTCTAGTGTTCCTTCACTTTTAGAAGTTGTCATTTTTTTTTCTCATTTAACTTCATATGGTGCGACTTTTTGACCACTTAGTGTCAAATCCAACTACCATACTTTTCTGGTGGGAGATATCAGCTCTCAAAGCAGTTGTTCCTGGATGTTTTTTATTGCACTACTGATTTCTGCCAATTCTTTGACTTATCCCTGAGAAGTGACCGTTAACTGCCATGAGCTGGCCAAACTCAAAAAGTCAGAAAGCTGAAACAGGAATACAGAGGAGCAAATTAGAGTAGCTATCAGATGTTAATAGGACTTGCATTTTTACAAAGAAAAATAAATCAAAATGTAGACAGCATACACAGTATTTTGTGGTGGATCTAAAGGTACAACATTCAAAATGTTCTGTAAATCTGAGCTTTCTTTGTATCTCCATACTTTTTAGTCTTAAATGTTTGTATGTGGGTAATTCAGGCAGAGAATGAGATTTGGCAGAAAAATATGGAAAAAACTCTGTGTCCCTTTCAGTTGCAGGAACTATAAGAAAAACTAACTTGTATTTTAATTCAGTAGATATCTACAAAGGTAACTTATGGCTCAAAGAGGTAATATTTGTGTAGTATTTCTATTACCATAGACCTGTGTGTTTACTTCATGGTTAGTGAAATTTCTAAGACAGGGAAACAGCGTTTGCAGTTGACGTGTAGTGAAGTGGTACTGGGCTTTATTCTTCCACAAAGATGGAAATCAGTTGCCCAGAGGGGATAAGAGAAAGTTCTGACTAGGTGTGTTTTCTTTAGAATAGAACTTATTTTAGATACTGTGGGGTTTCTCAGGGAGACAACCTATATTTAAAAAAAAAAAAAAACAAACCTTTTTTGATGTCATAGCAGTATTTCATAAGAAATATTTTTACTCTTTTGGGGTTTTTTGCAGGTTTGGATCCAGATAAGCATCTAGGAAAAACTCTAGATCAAATGGAGCCTGTTCTGTTAGAGGTGAGTATTAATTAAAGGATACTCATAAAGTTGCAATTAAAAAGTACCACAGGCAGAAATTCAGTAAAATTAACCTAATAAAAAATTACTTTCCAGAAATTATGTGCTAACCCAAAGCTTATCTTTGTACATAGACTATGAGCCTCTGATATGCACTTTGGATATGAAAAACATTATTTCTTGACATAGTTCACAAATGGTGTCAACATCTTTAAAACCAACTAAAAACCAAGGAACCTTAATATTGCAGGAACACTAACTTGTAAGTCAATATGATAAAGCTAAATAATTGCAAGCAAGTTGGAGATTTTCACAGCAAGAAATGGTAGTGGCAAAATCACTGGTGATAAAGAACATCCCCAAAAATATCCCTGTCTGGAGGTTTTCTACCATTTCCCTAATCAGACTGTGTAAAGTAGGGCCTTTCAAAAATGAAATAGGAGGTTTATTCCTGAGGATGTACTTAATTCTGTGCAAAGGGTTATGTGGCCCAAAAAGCAGGAAAATGCTTGTAGACAGAGCTAATAGACTTATTTAAAGAAAAATTTAACTAGGGAAAAGAAAAAAGACCAGATTTTGTACTTGAGTCTTCTTTGAGTTTTGATGTAGAAGCATCAAACATCAAGCTAAGTAAAGTTTAAGAATAACAATTCTGAAAGCATGTTTTTATATATTTTCTGTAACAGTGCCAGTTTACCAGAATTCCTTGTCCTTGAACCTGTTAAAAACCCACAATTATTTTCATGTTTGGCTATTAAGAGACTCTTGATGTAACTTTCATCAGTGTAGGCTGTCTAACTTTCCAAAAGTTATCTCCTAAAAATGCTTTTCATTGTTAATCTGGGTAGTTACCATTCAGCCTGGCTTCATAAGTTATTTTTCTGGAACACTTAAGGGCATGGCAGATGTGCAGAAGAGAAAGAAAAAGTAATCAGTATTTGTTAGGAACTTTAAAAATCTCTTTTGCTGCTGAAAGGTAGTGGAGTTACGTAACAATTATATCTTGAGTTTAACTCCATTTTTTTAGTTATTTGCATGACTGGAGAGAAGATAGATAATTGATGCTTGGCAAACTGAAGAGGAAGAATTAAGGTCCATAACATTCAAATAACCTTACTTGAAGTGATTTGAGGTTTGTTGCTTCAGAGCTGGAGAATCTGGCCAGAAACCTTCCCCTCTCCCTCCCCTCCACTATGTAAACTAGTTCATATAAAGAGCCCATTCTTTATCTATTTTTGTGAGTCTTGCTTCACTTAGTTCTTTAGATCATCTCAACTACAGCAAAAATTCAAGAATACCAGGGAGAAGGAAGGAAAGGTGTTTTCTCCTGCTCCAGAATAAGGGAACAAAGGAAAGTAGGGAATTAAATATCTTCCTAAACACTTGCAGTACAGGTAAAAAAGCAGTGGCAGAGGCACACAGTAGGAGTACGCAAGAATAAGTATACTTTTAACTATATATAAAATATTTTTGATTTTTTGCCAGCAGCAGACATTTTATTTCAAGGAGTGATAAAAAAGGTACACTTAAACCAGTAAATAATTGCTAAATCTAGGGATATCTGTAAGATACAAGAGTAGTTAGAAGAGAGAGTAGATTAATCCTGGAAAGTATAGATTGGATTTTTACAGGAAAAGGAAGGAAGAGAGAATGAGTTCACTACTTCAAGCATCAGTGACCTTTTGGATTAGGTAATGTAATCTAAATGAACACTGAACTAGCTTTGGATTTGGAAACTGTATTAACATTGCTGTTTGCCTCAGCTAATGAGCCACTAAGAACCAGAGACCACAAGTTTATGCTGACTCTGACAGTGAGGTGCTGTATAGTGCAAGAGAGTACATTGCTGTGGAAAAGCAGTTGTACTGAATTGTACTGACTAATTGATAAATTCCCCAAAGTGGAAGATCTTTGGAGTCACAAAGATCTTGGAAGATCTTTGGAGTCCCATGTAAATAATACATAGTTTAAGAACATTTACGTGCTCCTCCCTCAGTTTGTTGCTGCATATCACTAAAGCAAAGTTTCTGTTTCTCAGAGCTCTTTCTTTAAAATCTTATTAAATGACAGTTATGGAAATATAAAATTTTATACTCATGAAATAATGAATAACTTATTGTGGAATAGATTTAAAAGAAGCATCAACATTGCTGTAATATCTATTCCACACTGGTCAGTCACATTTGAATAAATTGATACTTGTGTGGGACAAGTTATATAAGCCAAAAGGAGTAAAGTACTGTCTGTAAGTACTGTCCCTGCATTCACAGAAAGCTTCTGTTATCAACATTCAGGTTGCATCTTCAGTGGGGTTCGGATGGGTAGCTCCTCACCTCAGTCGAATCAGCAGTCTTGACTTTCTTTAAAACTGTAGCAGCAAGTATTGCAATTTTAGTTGTGCTAATAAGAAGTATTCTTCTACATTTGATGTCACCATCCTTCGTGTTAAAAAGAAAACAATAATGTAAACCAAAACTACACAGTATTTTTTATGAATTAAATGTATTCTTTATGGTGTTTGATGGCTCAGTTGAAGCGATTCTTACTTACTTGGTTTCCCTGAAATTATTACTGTCATGACTTAATCTCAAACCCCACATTTCCAGGTTTTATCTGTTATTGATACAACAATAAATAGAACAATGGCTGCATAGCTTAAGGTGTTGGAGTAGGGCATCCTGACCCTGCTTGCAGTTGGTTGCCAGACCATTGTAGGGGAGACTGCACAACTGATTATTAGTTTGTTTAGCTGTTTCTTGTGTATATGCATGCTATGAAAGTCAAAATCAGTCCAAATAAATGGTTTTTACTGGATACTTAGTTGGCTTTAAGGCCTAATAAAACCAAATCATTAAGTATAAACTAAGAAGAAATACTTAGGTTTAGGATGTGAAAAATACTCTTTTGCAAATCAGTGAAGTCTTGATCATCAGAAGTTCTGGCAGACAGAATGTGAAAACAAGTAGTTCCCAGTTTTCAGTAAGGAGGAGAGATAAAATTTATTATTCTGACCATACCCCATTCTGACCAAACACCATAATGAATCAATGTTTAATATTGCACAACTCCAAAACTACCACAGCTTTATATACTCATGTATCTTTGTTGTATTGCTGTATTATCTAATTTCAAATTTCACGGTAAATTTGTCATTCTTGTTGGAGTTTTTTGCTAATTTGTACTTTTTTCCTGTTCTTGTGGATTGTCTTTTGGGTTCCCTGTTGACATCTAACATTATTTTACATAGTTTATTCAGTTAGGTGCAGGGTTTTTCATTACAGCATTTTTCCTAGTGTGATGTGTTAAATTTGTGAGAATTTTTGCAGTTCTGTTTAGAATTAATTAAGTAATGTTCTACATGTTCTTCAGTTTTGTTGAAAACCACAGAATATGTCAAGTTGGAAGGGACCCACAAGGATCACTGAATCCAACACTTAGCCCTGCACGGGACCATTCCCAGGAGTCACACCATGTTGCTGAGAGCATCATCCAAATGCTTCTTGAACTCTGTCAGACTTGGTGCTGTGACCACTTCCCTAGGGAGCTTGTTCGAGTACCCAACCACCCTCTGGGTGAAGAACTTTTATCTGATGTCTAATCTAAACCTCCCCTAACACAACTTCTGGCCATTCCCTTGAGTTTTATCACTGGTGTCCAGAGAGAAGAGGTTAGTGCCTGACTCTCCTCTTCCCTCACAAGGAAGTTGTAAATGCAATGAGGTCTCCCCTCAGTCTCCTCTTCTCCAGGCTGAACAGACCAAGTGACCTCAGTCCCTCCTCATACAGCTTCCCCTCAAGGCCCTTCACCATGTTCGTTGCCCTCCTTTGGACATTCTCTAATAGCTTAATATCATTCTTACATTGTAGTGCCCAAAACTGCACACCATATTCAAGGTGAGGCTGCACCATTGCAGAGCAGAGCGGGACAATTCCCTCGCTTGACCAGCTGGTGATGCTTTGCTCGATGCCCCCCAGGATATGGTTGCCCCTTGATTCTTACGCAGAGGCTCTCAACTGTGCCACTGCCAGCTGGGAGCTCCACACATTCTAACCCTTCCATTACATACAGTGCCACCCCTCCACCTCTTCTGGCCTGCCTATCCCTTCTGAAGAGCCTGTAATCATCCAACAGGGCACTCCAGTCACGAGGTCTCGTCAACCCACCAGGTTTCACTTATGTCAGTTATGTCAAATCTCTGGGACTTGGCCAAAATCTTGAGCTCTTCTTGTTTGTTCTTCATTCTGTGTGCATTGGTGTAGGAACATTTCAGGTGTGGTACATTGTAACCAACACCTCATAAAGTAGATTGAGGGATCCTCTGAGTGCTGGTTTTCTCAAGTTTTGGCACACCATCCCATTGCTCATCACGGCTGACCTAGTTCAAAGCTCTGTCAACAAGCCCCACTAGCTCCTGCTCTAGAACTCCTTTTCCCCTTATCCCAGTTAGGTGCATCCTGTCAGGTGTCAGTAGACCATGTGTTGAGTAGATCATCCCATGGTCAAAAAACCTCAAATTTTTCCAATTACACCAACCTCGGAGCCAAGGATCTTTGATACTGATTCACAACATGTATGACATGTTGAGTAATTTTGGATTTGTAGGGAGTATCTTTAACATATGTTCACAAAGTTCAACCTCTCTGGTACTACGTATCAGGAAATAGAACTTAACGTTTTTTTATGTTGTTTTTAATTGTACTAAAAATTTACCTTAAGGAACAAGCAGTGAGACCAGAATTGACTTGTATTACTGTAATGTGCCTGTTACAATTTGTCTTTTGGATATATAACAAATAAGCATGGAGTAATAGTTTTATTTTTAGAAAAAAATCTGTGGTTGAGGCATTATACGAGGCATATTAATGTTAATTGGAAAAAAAACCCCAACAAACAAATCTACAACCCACAAGTTCAAAAATATATATTATTACCTAAATTTTCAGTCTTCTTATTTGCAGTAGTTTATGTGTACAGTAGAAATTATAATAATTATTGACATAGAGGTGAGGTATTTTGTTGCTGTAGTAGCAGAAAAATGGATGTCCAGTGAGTGGGAAAAACTTTTTACAAACATTTCTCTGACTACATACAGGTTGTTGAACTTATGTGCACAATGATAATCTACCACACATACTTTTAGCAGAAGTGAATTTTACTGGATCAGGACATTGGCATTACGGAAAGTTTTTTAATTGTCGCTTTTTTTCTAAATTATAGGTCTTTGATTAATTATTGAGGAGTGGTTGATAGATAATTTCTAAATTATTAAATTGCTTTCACGTCCCATTGTTTCCTCTGTAACAGGAGTGTTAGCTTTTTACACTAAAGAATTTTCTGGCAACTTAGGAAGTCTCAAAGAGTGCTTTCACTCTCCTTAGAATTCATTAACAAAATGGTAAATGGACATTATGGTTATATTTGTCCATACCTCTAGCTCTGCTAATAGGCAATAGGAAAATGTTTGTTTGTATGCTTGCCTCAGAAGTTGATGAGAATATCTTGATGTAAAGAGCATTTTTGTAGTTACGAGAATTTACTAAGTATTTCAATTTCTGTCTGGGAAGAAAATGTTCACTTAAGAAAGGAATCACTTGAATTCATATATTTATCTTTGATTACTGAAGTTAAGTGAGAAAATCAGCTTTAATCCCTGTGTTTTCTTCCCAAGATAGGAAGAGACTGTTCTTTGGGTAATGTTTGGACTAGTCATTTATATACCTTGTTTTCTGTACTTAAGATAAATTTTATGTAGTCTACAAGATGTTTTCATTATACATTTCTTTTGGATTTTTAATTGGACTTGCATTACTTGCAATTAGTTAAGTGTAATTTGTAAAACTGCAGTTTTCTGACTCATCTGAATTAGAAGGCAGATTTAGCAATCATAAAATTTATATTAGAGTCCAAGCTGTCATATTGTTATGAATGTAGCATACAATTTGCAAAACAAAATAATTGGTCCTCAAAAAATGTTAATATTCTAAAGGACTAAAAGGCACAGTTCTGATGTCATTGATGACATTTTAAAAATATTGCTGACTTTGTTAAATGAACATTAAGAATATGTTCTATGAGCAGCTGGATATCCTCCGTTCCTGTTGACATTTGTGGGAACTGAAAATCCTTTAGCACCTTTTATAATTGGTGTCGAGAATGATGCTGAAGCCAGTGACACTGAAAATGAGGATTTCTCACAACAAAGATGGGAAACAGTATCACATCTTTTGAGGATTCAATGTTAATTTGCCAATAATTATTCTAGACACGAATGTTTACAAGCAGAGCTACCAGTTTTGAAAGTGACTTGGAAACAGTCATTCCTAGTATTCACTGTGGAAAGATTACATTTAGAAAGATCTTTCCTAGTTTCCTCTCTTTCATTTTTAAAATAGTTTTCTTAAGGTTTTTTTGCAACAAGAGTAAGAATAAAAGGTTTTGACTAACTCTTTTGTAGGTTGTCCATTCTTGTTGCATCAACATTAATTATTCTTGATGTATTTGTCCTATAGAAACCTTGTTGCCATTGTTGACAGATGGAGTTGTCTTTTATGTCAGGAGTATAATTTTTTAATGAGCACTTGATTAAAGGTTTTCTTTTGCTCCTTTTCTTTGAAAGAAAATGGGAAAGGAAAAATGAAAAATAACTCTCATAACAAGACATTGAAAAAATGTTAATATATGTTCCAAAGGAGATTTAGATTTTACACCATCAAACAACTAAATATTCACATAGAGTGTTACCAAGGTATTGTTTTATCAGAGCATTTTCATTTTTTTCCAAATTAAAGTCTAAACAGTTTTTGAGCCCTTGGTGTAAGTAACTAAAGTGATAAACATTCTTTAAAGTTTTAAAATAATAAAAAAAAAATTTGAAAGAGATCTGTAATATAACAAACTGTGCATTCAGCTTCACTAATAAAAATATGCTATCATTTGAATATATCAAATAGATATACTTGCTACACAAATATTCTGATCACCATTTAAAAAATGGAACACACAATGTATACTGTAAATAACCCAGTCTCGTGTTTGCCTAAAAAGAAACAAACTACAGATTTGGAATTATTTTCTAGCCTCCAGACAGAGTTTTTCTAACCCTCTTCGACATATTGTGGAGAACTTCCTTTCTACTTCAACTGCAAAAGCATCATGGGTGGGCTTCTGTTCCTTTAAGGAAAGACATAAAGAGGTTAAATAAATATTCCCAATACAAACATTGGTGTTTGCAATGGAGTTCAAAACTGCAGTTCAGCTTCTCATGAGCTACTTAAAGCAGAATGTTAGTACTTGTTTAATGTTAGAAAACCTGGATGGGACTTGGCTTGAAGCAACTACTGCTGTGACACTTAACGAGGTGATATAATCTGGTGCTGGGAAGATGGATTTCTCCTGCAGACAAAGAGAGGGCTTCCCCATGCTCAGGTGTGGTACAGATGCTGGATACTGGCGTATCTAAAGCTTCAGGAATATTCATAAATATATGTTGATTTGGGAAGTGTATGCAGTACAATTTATAAAGGAAACATGTTTTTCCCTCTTTATAACTTGCTTTAGCTTTTTGCATTTGACTTAGAAAATACTCGTTGGTTGTATTTGTTAGATTTTTTTGAAGGAACGAGTATTTATCAAAATGTAGAATGCAGTTGTTCAATCTGTTGTCAAAAGCTGTGTTCACTGTATGCTTCTTTGTGAAGTGCTATTTCTTGTGTTGATTTCACAGTACAAGTTTCTTGTAGAGATGAGCTAGCTATGCTAGAGGGTTAAACAAATATGAGAATCTGAACATGGCCACCGAGGAAGATGATCTAGGAATGAATTTGTTTATCTGAGTGTTACAGTGGTAGTTCTACTTAAGCTATAACACATTGGTAACTTTTAGATCGCTGTAATAAGCATAGAAAGAAATCAAGAAGCCACTGTATGATATTTGGGTTTTTTTCAGCCTTGTAATGGGTAGTCCTTTAGAAAGTACATCTGTGGTTTAACCCCAGCCAACAAACAGTGTGTAGTGTGCTGGTTTTGTCATTTTTAGCACTATATGTTTAATAGACTGCTTTAATGTAATACTCATGCGTTTTAATTTCCCTTTTGTGCTAGCTCTCTGAGAAATATGGAGTCCATGTTTGTGGAGAAGGTGGAGAATATGAAACATTCACTCTGGACTGCCCTCTGTTTAAGAAGAAAATAGTTGTGTAAGGAACAGTTTCTTCTATTTCCATATATTAAAGCAACAGGTACATATCAAAAGTTTATCCTGAGACAACTAGAGGTGGTAAGAGGTAAAACATGGCATTGGCAGTGGTAAAATACATTCTCTAAGTTCACACTCATGTTGTTTTAACACTGGCAAAGTCCTCTGAAAACCTAAATCAGTACTTGACAAGATGAGGCCTTCAAAGAGGTCCATAAACTCTTAGACATTTGCACTTTCCTTTACTTGCTGATTATGGCCTGTGGTAAAACTGATACCTACACACTGACACTTTTGTCCTTTCATGAAGTGCAAATTGCCTGTAATATTTATCTTTCATTACAGCTAAATTTGATAAACTGCCACATCAGTAGTCTGTGGGTCCCATTAACTTTGTGTGTGTGTGTGTGTGTGTGTGTGTGTGTGTGTGAGTTTAGTGGCTTAGAATGATAGTGAAAAACATTTTTCTTCAATTACTACAGGATATTTTTAAATACAAACTTTTCATGAATCCATCTCAATTACACTGAGTAATTTATTCCTATGACATAAATTGCTAAAATCTATGTAGTGAGATATGGAAAATATTTGTGTCTTGATGCCAGTTTCTTATTAACCTGTTAAATAGCTAAACCTCCTTACTTCAAGTGGGATACTTTGCTGTTTCTTTTCTTAACAAGTAAACAGACTAGTAGTCACATATTGGTGATTGATTCTCAGTTGTCTTAGGGAAGGTCAAGATTATGGAGCATATAGACATGATTAAGGCTTTCATGGTGAAGGTCTATTTGTTTCACTTTAGTGTAAGACCAGGATCTGTGTAAGCAATAGAGAACCAATAACAGTCAGCTCTGTTTCATTGCATGGCATCTGAGAGGAGATCAATAGAAAAATTGGTAAAAGTGCTGGCATCTAGTTTGGCAGATGTCGCTGAAATACTGGTTGACTGTGTCCTTCATTTGAGATCAACCAAAGGGCAGTTTAAATAGGAATGTATTATAATATATTCTAAATGTATTTCAGGCTATCAGTGGCTTAAAGACAGTTCAAGTAACTAGGAAGATAAAACAGAGATGGTCTGACTGAGTTGTTTTTATTTCCCTTGGTGATACTCCAGATAATAATAAAAATTAACAATAAATGCACAGAAAATATATAAAACCAAAATATATAAATCAACGAGTATTTAATAATAAATATATGGCACAGTGGACTGATAAACAGTTCCTCAGCTATTTCTAAATATTCATTTCCATAATGGAAACTGAATAGCTGCACTGGCATTGTGTGTCTCTGGCTTGAGTAGTCCTGCTTAGGTCTTACATTATTCATGTAATAAAAACATACCCTTTGAGGGGCCATGCATATGAAATCTATTACTTTATGAACTTGTTAAGAAAACTATTTTGTAGTTCCTTTGTCATTAAATAAGTTACAAGTTTAGTTATTTTCTGCTATTCATTCTTACTTTTCATATACACTGAATCTAAACAGACTTTGTTATCCTGTTAACTCTGCTAGTATAGTGTCCAAATGTTTAGATATCCATGGTTTGGGTGTGCATCTGCTCTGCTGTACTGGTGAACTGGAACATGCAGAATGCAAGTAGGACTACTTCTTTTACTTTGGAGTTTTTCACATTTACTAGTTATTCTTTAAATTCAACAGGCAGATACAGCTAATAACTGTGATTTTTTCATTCTGATATCAGTTTTTCTGTTAATTTAGTTTTAAGTAGTAAATGCATCACTGAAAAGTGCTAGATTTCCCCCATATTGGACTTGAATAACAAGCAGAAAATGTTTACTGAGAACGTACTCAGACACAGAGGATACCCTGGTATGAGATACTACTGGCGTCTTGGTGTCTTTTTTTTAATTATTTTTAATGATATATTGCTGTTGCTAAAGATTTCTCAAGTTATTTCTCTTAGAAGACCTCATGGTCATTTGAAAAGAATGATTTTAATCTTAAGAAACTATCTAAAAATTATCTTATGTTCCTATATTAAATATAAACAATACTTTAATCATAAAAAATCTTGATAATTACTCTGAAGAAAGAAGATGAGGCATATTTATCAAAATATTTTAGAAGTTTGCTTAAAGGGAAGTGCACCTTCTTATGTTAAAGGTATTTATGATTATTGTGCAATATTTTGTTATTTTAAATCTCAAAATACATTTTCTAGCACAGCTGTTTCTATTAATTATAGTCTTTTATTGAGGCACTGGGATCTGAGCGACTTCAACTGGTTTGAGTTTGCCCGGGTTTTATGTGGCATTACTAGAAATCTGTCTATATCATCTCATTGAACACTATGAAGGTGCCAAGGGCACTGTGGTTTCAAAAAACTTAGGTGTTCTTAGTCCTTATTTGCAATAATTTTGGGATTTTCTTGTACTGAGCCTGAGTTTCTTTTATGCTTCCTTTGCATTTCTCACCTTCTGATGTTTGTTTCCTAGAGTTACCTTTTCCTGAAGTAGTAAAATCATGCAGATGGATATAACAGATACTGCCTCTTGTGAATCAAAGTATGACAGATTGTGTCTGTAAAAATGAAAACTAAAATTAACTAATTTGAATCAGCACACAGGAAGTTTTTTGTTGTTACCAACACATTTGGCATTAAAAAGTTGTGTCTGGTAGTCTTCACTATCAGATGCAAGATGATTGAATCAGTCAGTTTCTCAGTGTGAAATATTCTGTATTGTTAATACTTCAAAAACTAATCCCTGGGACATAAAACAATGGACTTTTACAAAACCTGTTGATGAAATTAAAAGATTATTCTACATATTAGTCTCTAGGATTTAAAACATAATGTAATTTATGCTTCCATAGACTACAGCTTGATTCTCTCAAAATTGGTCTGAAAGTCGGGGAAAATAAGGGAAGACTGATGAGCAGAATTGTAAACACACTCAAGTGGCCTGCAGTTAGAGTGTCAAAAAATACATATATCATACTAATTGTTGTTTGGCCTTGTGTGTTGGATGAGTAGAACATTTGTGTTTAGATAACATAGACCTGTGATAGACTTAGGGGTACCCTATCAAGCAAAAAATCATGCTTGAGGTTGCTGCCCTGCTGTGGGAAAGATCAAAGCAGAATATTATGCCTGTGCAAATCCCTGAAGTAGAGGCAAACCCAGCGAGTTTGGTGATCCTCTGTCATGGACTGAGACACTACAGAGCCTGTGTCCCTTCTTTTGTGCCTCTGCCTGAATGCTGCTTTGGGGACCCCAGCTGGAGAGGTAATGAAAGCAAACTTATGCTTTGCATTTCAGCTGTGGTTTTGTGGTTGCTCATGCATCCTACCAGTGCCAGTTGACATAGGAAGTATAGTTTATTCCTTTTGAAAATTGAAAATTCTTGAAAATAATGAGAATATGATTTCATATATCAAACTACTTTTTATTAATTTACATGGAAACACAGATAAGAAATGCACAGATTTTCAATTAGTTACCTTGGAGCTTGTGTTATATGGAGACTAAGTATTGTCTACATATAAAATTAGATACTACATATAAAATTATATATGTAAAATATTTGTATTTCAGAGATTCATCCAAGGTGGTTGTGCATTCAGCTGATGCATTTGCACCTGTGGCCTACCTTCAATTTTTAAAATCACACCTGGAGAATAAGGCAAGTAGTTTGAAAATGTTGTCGTCCTTTGAAGATATATGCATGCTTTCTATTTTTCTGTTGCTTTGTCACAATATGAAATGAACCTACATATTCTCATGTGCTTGTAATTTCAAATAACAATGTACATAATTTCAAATAACAGTATACATATTTTGTTGAATTTCAGAACTTACCATAAGGAAAAAATGAACACAAATGCTTCCTTCTGTCCAAAGAGTATATTTGACACAAGGAAGTATAGTATTTAGGTAGTATATTTGTGTGGCATTTTTCATCTTGAAGCCTCAAGGTGCTCAGCCAACATGGTTCAGTCAAGCACATGTGTAACCTGTGTAGTACAGCTAGCTACACTGTAGAACACAACTGTATTAGGAAACTGTATGAACAGTGTTGATTTGCTGTGAAGTGGCATCTCTTCTTGATGTTCCTGATGGAAAGTGGATGATTTAAAACTCACTTGAGTTTTGAACATACTGGATTTTTTCTATATGAAAGATAGATCTAATGAATGACTTCAGATCATGTACAGGAGGTCATCTTGGTCAAAAATTTTAAAGGAATCATTAGTTCACTGGGATTAATTCTCTTAGTTCAGGATTCTATAGAAACAGCAGAACAGGAATAGGAATTCTGGTGGTTTAAATATTACAGACTTTCATATGAGCAGAACTAAGGTCAAATCAGAATAAATTTTATTAGTATTTGTCATTGCTTTTCTGTTTTTCCTTTTATTATTTTATGGGGAAAATGATTTTTTTCTTCCTGAATCCTTATAATTTTTAATATTTGGTTGAAGAGAGTGCATCATGATCTGTCTTCTACTGTTGCAGTCATCTTTTTATAGCTCTTCCTATATTTTTCTGTACTTTGATGATCAAAGTGCAGAGATTGTTATAGAGTGTTATTATATTGATATTTCACATTTCATATCTCTTAAGCAACTACATTTCCTGAATGTCTTTCAATAGATCATGCCTTCCCCTCTTCCCCCTCCCTTTTTTGTTTTTAATTTTATTTTTCCAAACAGGTAAAATACCTCTATGTTTTTCTTCTATGATGGCCTCATTTTTGCCTTGGAAAGTAAATTGTATTTCATCCTGTCAATTTCTAGTTTGGTATTTCTTTCAAAAATAAAACATTAAATATTTGTGTGGGTGACTGAAAAGTGAGTCTAACTATGTGAAGCAAAACCAAATAAGCTGAATAAAGGAAATTTTGGGAATGGGGCATGGTGGGGAAGAGTGATAATATATTAATATTTCTTTGGGGGCACTGACTTTATTGCTCATGGCAAACTTGATGCTAAAATGCACCTTACATCACTACAATGTGACAGGCTAGGGAAAATGAAAACCACAAAGCTTTACATAAATCAGGAAAAAATCATATTAAAATGCACAACATTTTATATAAGAATCAAGATTTTACTTACAACTATTCAGTAGCTCTTTTCCCCCTCTTATACAGATGTTTTAGATTTGGTTAAAGCCTCACACTTTCAGGTGTTGTTGTCATAAATCATATTTCCAATCCATTTTAGACAAAGCTGTCACACTTTACAAGAGGTAAGGTTTGCAGAGGTTTGCCCCAGACTTTGGTATATAAACTAATGTATTGTATAGTTAAAAGGAAAATAGTCTAATTTCTGCAGTAGTTGTCTCATAAGGAAAAGCATTAGAATATTTTGGCCATAGATTATTTTATGTCATGACAAAATAAGCTAAATTTCTGAGAAGTTATGAGTATGGAGAACTAGTAAGTCTTTCAGAGTATAACTGTTAGCATCATTTAACTGCATAATGATAAATGCAGTTAAATGCATGCCTTCAGGATTGGTATGGCTGTAGTATTGAACTTTTTCTCACTATTTGGTGCTAACCAACCCTACAGAAAATTTTAACTATCAGTAATTCAGCACGTGAAATCCAATCCTACAATAACAAAGTACTGCAGGGGGAAACTGCTTTAGAAGGAGAACTAATTTTAGTTTCAGGCTTTCAAGGGATTGCTGAAAATTGAGCAAAAAAAAACTTGTGTAAGCACTTTGAAGAAAACATTAATAGACTCCACAGTGAAGTATAATTCTGATAAGTATTATGACATCAGTTCTGTTATCGTTTGAGCTGTGAGATATTCATATTTTAACTGTACTGTATATTAATTTTTATCGTTGTTATGTGCCACAGGTGTTAATTTTACATTCTTCGAATTTACTTTTAAAATCATTATGCAATTATAGGTAGTGTAATCTTAGTCTCTGCTGTCTTTCCTCCTCTATAATGCATTTTCTTTAGCTAAATCTCTTCACGTTTAACTACAAAGCCTGCCTAGAAATTTGTTTTAAATTGTTTCTGGCAGCAAAATGAGCCCTTGTGCCTAGGGGAACATAACATTTTACTCACTGCTCTGGTTTAATACGTTACTGTGCAACTTCAAGATGTGTTTTTGCATAATAATTGAAACTTTTTTTTAACACACCCTCTTTTCTTTCTTAAACAGTGATACAGAAAAGGCTAAAGAGATAAATAAAGATTTTATTACTAAAATGTTATTAAAAATTTGGTAAATATTTTTATAGGCATTTTATATATTAAGAGTAAATAATAATGGTAATAAAACACTAATGTGCAAAATTTGGGAATGCCTCGTTTACTTCAGGGTAAAAACCAAGGTCACCAGTCTAATAGAAATACCTAGTTTTATCAATATTTTACTTTGCCAGTAAGACAGTCACTTCACACATTTACCACATAGAATGTTTTTTGTTCAAGGGAGAAAATTTCTGAAGCATATTCCAGAATCTTTAAATCAAGTGTATTGGCTTTTCTACTCAATAAAAAATTAATTTTGAATATTTTCAATTAGGAAAAATACAACTATGAAACAATTTTTTTTTGCTTTGGCAGCACAGTGAACTTCCATAAATTTTTATTTTGTGCATATGTACTGTTACTCTATTGTGTTGCCTTTTAAATGAACATAAACAGAAATCAGAGCTGTTGGAGCCTCTGCTGATGGGAACATACTTCTGATGACAGCAGTGAACATATTAGCTATTGTTCATGCTTTCAGATTTGCTCTTTCATCCATTTAATAGTGAATACTTTGTTCCCATGTTCCAGTGAGTAGGAGCACTCATATATATCCAACAGTACAAGCTGTGAAACTGCAACCCTTCAAGTTATGGATAGTCCAGAATTAGAGGGAGTCATGTAGTTTTCTTTCTACATTTGGCAGAAGAAAAGACCCTGTTTGCCTCTAAGAGGTACAGGAATCATGCCTGCTGTTGCTTTTTCTTGTATAATACTATTGCATTATATTACCTCTCATCAATTGATGTTGTGTTTTCCTCTTTGTAAAAGATCTTGACTTGTGTGGGTGGAACACTTTTCAGAAGTGCAAGCAGTTTGCTCCTGTTAAACATCAGGAAATCTATTTCACAGGTCAATTTGGAGATAATTTTTAAAACACTTGTAAAGTTTTTTAACTTGTAAATTTAGAGAAGGTTTTCAGGAGATAGTTGCATGTTGTGTGTGTACTAAAGGTTCACAATCCTGCAGGTTATATTTGATTTAACATTGTTGCCTATTTCTGTCCAGTCCCTTCTGACCTGAATTATTTTAGCTAATCTACATGCAGGACTTTAGCTGTAGAATCAGACATTGTCAGTGATGTCAGGGAAAATAGGAAAGAATTTCAAGTTGCAAAACATGTTTTGCTGGTGGCATTGTGGGTAGCATTTTTTGAGTAGTTTGTCATCATTGAATGATACTTCTCCTACCTAACCTTTAGTTTCCCTTGTGCATCACAAGAATATAGATAACCCTTGTAGTTTTGTTTTCAAAACTTGGTTACAAATACTGCAAAAATTTTTTTGTATGCTGATTTATTTCAAACACTAATATAGTAAATAAAAGATTTTCTTTTCTACTGCATTTGATTGCAGGTTTAGTTCAGTTCCTGAGAAAAGATAATTTTTACTTTCCTTTTCATAATGAAGATACTTTATTTGAAAGTCTTTTGGAGTAAAAGACTTTTGTCTACATATTGTACTCGAAATACTGCAAGATGTATGTGGTCTCATATTTATTTCAAGGAGTTCTGTTATCAAGGTACATCAAAAGGAATAAAAAGATTATCATAATCTTATGCCTTCTGAGATCTCTACTCCACTGTATTCTCATTGCTGCTCAGTGGGAGAGTTATCAGTTTTAGAACTGTGTTGTGATAGGTTTTTATACCAGTTTCTGTAGCGGAGAATGTAAGCTTTTCAAGAAGGCAATCTGTTGTTTTCATAAAAGACCACTGCATGGAATTTCAGCTATATCAGTCAAAGTCCTAGCTCCAAGGCTTTTTCAACAGGAGAATTTGGATCTTGTAACACTCGTGCATTTGCTTAACTTCATTCTGAGCGCACTTGCATCAATGACATGAGTTATGTGACTATAGTTAAGCGTATGCATACATGCAGGCTCTGGTCCAAAATTAGGTTGGTATCACAATGTACAGTGGGTGTGGGAGAAACTGTGTAACAAATGAGAAAATATATTGCTTCTGTGAACTAACATGAAAATGTTATGTGATAAAATAGGTTCTGTAAGATTTAATTAAAATGTCATTATAGCAAGCTCGATGTTTTCTTTTTAAAGTGATGAGAATATTATTCAGGGAAAGTTAGTCTGTTTGTGACAGTCTATAAGTTTTAGTTTCTTAGATTACTTTCTCTGTTGAGAGGAATGGAAGACCAACATTTGTATGAGATTTGAATATAGCTACTAAACAGAGTCTGGCAGCTCTGCTTAGGCTGTTATTGAGCCTGCTGTTCTTTGAGTGCCAGGTTCCACACCTAATACTCTTCTGTGGCCTGCACCTGTGCTGCTGCAGGTAGTGATTGATTACCCGTGGTTTTTGAGCATTGTGGGACTCAGCCTTTAATGAGTCACTGTGATGTATCATAGGCATTGACATCAACAGTTGTCTATAATTATTGTCTATAATTATTTTTGCAATTATATAATAGAGATTGTAAAATTTCTGATATTTCATAGTAGTTTCCAAAAATTTTGTAACTGACCGGCTTTTTATTATTTGTGCAAACACAGATGTATACTTTTATTTATCTCTCTGAAGCAATATTGATATAAACTTAATTATTTATAAAATATTGACCTATTAGGAAAAAGGGTCATGACTGTGGATGATATGAAAATTTCATGTGGCATCAATTTGAGATATTTTTAATATTAGCAAATTAGAAAGCTACAGGGGAGTTCTCTGTGTTATACTAAACCACTTGTGATACAGTCTGTGAGGCTCACTACATTCCCATAAATTTTTTTATGAAAGACATTTTCAAGAAATCATGTTTAGAAACACAGAAGAATGAACAATTTTAAGAGATAACATAAAAATGGAATAGGTGCTCTTTTCATTTTCACTTGCAGAGCATATGAATTTGGTACTGCAGGTTAGGGAATGAAGAGAAGTTACAGGTCTTTAATAGCAGCTACAGAAGATATCTGTAGCTCTAGATCTCTTAAAAGGTGATTATGTAAAGCTTTGTAAAAGTGAGTAACAAACTAGTAAGCTGGAACTTTTCCCTTTCCAGTTAACAATATTTTTTTTCCTAGTGATGGATTTTTGTTGCATATTGACATTAAAATCCAGGTGATGTAAAAACAAAACCCAAAGCAGCATTGTAATAGCATCATTCACATCATCATGTCTGTGCATGCTTACTCAGGGAGTGGGACCAAGAAGTGCAGACTCTGTATATTTTACATTAGTACTCCCCTGAATGCCTGTGTTGCAATGCAAATTGATTTCTTCGCGGTGGATGCTATGAATTACCCAGTGAAAGCAACTAATTTAATAAAACAACAATTTGCAAGAAGGAAGGGGTAGCACTTTTAGCACCTGATGCCACTACATAGTGTGTATACTTCCTTAAAGTGACTACTCACGAGAAAAAAATTGGAAACTTTAAAAAATATTGAATTTTCTTGGTTCTTGTAGCACAATCCAGCTTTGGATCTATTTTAATAAACCTCTTTGTGATACTGCTTTGTTAGTTTGTAAGTCATACCTGAAGGCTTAGGGGCTATCAGGCAGCCCTCTAGGTATCGCCAAAATACTGATGGCAGTAGCCAAAGGTATAATTCAATGAGTGGGAAATGGTAGGGATACTTCTGGATGCTTGTATATTGTAATGTTGGAATGCATGTCATGTTTGTACTAAATTGCAGTTTTCATCTTTGTGCTATTAGGTTACATTTGCTTGACTTCTTTAACCTCTCATGTACAATTGATTCACATAAAGTAGATTATTGCCTTGACTTTCATGTCTTTCTTGGAGGAATGAATAAAATGAAGTCCAATCAAAGGACATTAACCTCTCTTAGAGAATAGCTTTAGTGCTTACAGTGCTTGTAAAACTACCCATGAGTCCTCTTAAAGGAAGAAGAGTTGAGTTTTCTCTCACAGGTACTTTAGCCTTTTTGTACTTTAGCCTTTCCTTAAAATTTCCAATACACTACTTTAAAGTAACAAAATCCTTTTTCACTCCAGTGCAGACAAATAATGATGTAAATGAGTTATTGCAGACCTCTGATGCATGCTATAGTTTTCTGCCTTTTTTTTTTGTAGTTAATATCAAGAGAAAATTTTGAAGGTGCAATGAGATATGTTTTCATTTCCAAAGGAAAGAAAAAAAATACAATTAAATTAAATACAATTAAATTAAACACAATAAAAATTACTTCACTATATAATGTTAATACACATTTTAATGACATTTTACATGGAACACTAATTTTTCAGCTAAAAGAGTATTCAATAGTTTCTAATCTATATTTAAGGATTGCCACAGGCTTCCTATTTTGTCAACTTTTTATCTTGTTTTATTTAGCTTTATTAAAATTTTTGTGAATTTAGTATTTAAGAAGTCTGCAGTAAAAAGCATAGTTTAGACACTATATGAATATTGAGATATTTCTGAAGAAATTTAATTGATAGAATCTGGAATTACAGCATGCAGTGGTAGTTGGTTAAGGTTTATAGATAAATTCTGTCATAATTCATATTCCTTTTAGATGAAGACAAGTAGTATTAGCCAAGCTAGTAATGCCAAAGTTAATGTGCTCTGCACATTAGGCTGCCTAGGAAAATCAGATGAAAGAGAATAGGGTTTCTGATTGCTCTAAAATAAAATAAAATAAAAAACCCCAAACAAACAAAACAGAAAAAAAGACCAACAAAACAAACAAACCCAAAAATGTATTCTGTAATTATGTGACTTGTTGAAAATATAATGAACATGGAAATTTTGAAGACTGGTAAGTAAGCAACTCTGCCTGTGTATTTTGCTTTAAAAGGTGTGTTAGGTAGTCTTCTCTTCCTAGTCCTAAGAAAACATTTGAGAAGGATGATTCTCCTTCATTGTCAAGAAATTACTTTGATGTAGAGATCTTGGGAAATGCTCTTTCCTATATCTCAACTCATGCCAAAGCGTTTGATGGAAAGGATAGTCTTTCTGAGATAATAGAGGTTTTCTTTTTTACATGGACTGCCTTCATTCGTGGTTCCAAAGTTTTAAAACTTTCTTACTAGTCTTATGCTCAGCTTCAAGTGTTTAATGGTGGCATTAAATATAAAATTGTTACTTTTGTGCTTTAGTTCCTTTGTTCACTTAGTTTATACTATTTTTTTAAAGACATAGTTGTCCTGTGTATAACTGTGGAATAGCATTTCTTCGTTATATTATTCTTTCTGTCTCTATTCTCAAGTCTCATAATTTTTCATATCTACTGTCTTTACTTACTACCAAGTCTACACTTTTCTTCCGTATGATAAGTCAACAGGAGTACATTCTGTTCTGCCATTTCTGCAGTCTAATGAGAAATCATATGCTATTCTTCCACAAATTGTTCTAAGATATATGCCTGTTGAGCTATAGTATTTTTTGTAATTTAAACACATAATTTGATAAAATGTGCTTATTTCATACTGTTTGACATGCTGTTTACTTGCTTATTTTGTAATGTTTGTCTCAAACAGGAGGAATCTTCAGGTACTTTTGTGGTTAGTAGCTGTTCTTGTGAGATAAGCTGCACTGATGACGATATTTTCCCTTCATCGGAAGAGGATGAACCACAGAAAACCATTCCAGTCATCTGGAAGTCTTTGAAACCTAATTTTTTGGATTTCAGTGAGTTTTGCACAGCTTTAAGAAAAAAAATCAGAAAAAAAAGATTGAATATTTCATACTAGGTGGACCATGTTGTTAAATGTATATGAACATTCTTGAAAAGAATGTTCTTGTCCTGTAATAACTAGTCAGAAGAGAATCTAGTAGAATTATGTTTTTCTGGTATGGATGATCTGTAGTAATGAAGCATTTTGAATTAGGTTACCGGAGCATAACATATTTTTATCTTCCTTCTCTCCCTCTCCCTCTCCCTCTCCTCCTGAGAGTACCACAACATCACTGTTATATCACATACAAAGATGGGTAAACTTCCTGAAAACTAAGTTTCACAGCTAACACTGTTTAATACTGAATGGTATTTAGGTACTTGGTATTTCTTGGATATTGGAAAGTGCCTGGTGGGCCTTAGAAATGTCTAAACATGTTATGCATTTGCAGAGATTATCAGAACCAGGTAAACACCTAACTTAATTAGAATTTGGAATACAAGTTTGATAATCTGTTTCTATGTTACCTGGATACTTTTGAAAGTTTTAGTTTTTCAATGTCACCTCTTATGCCAAGTCTATAAACAAACAGGCCAAGACATTATGAAAGGTCAGCAATGTAGAGGAGAGAAAGTAATGAAATGCAGAGGAGAGAAAGTAGTGAAATTCTCAGCTAAATGCTACTTAAATGCATGTTTTCTGAAGACAGTGTTGGAGAAGGATTTGTCAAGCAGCATTTAGAAGCTTTGCTACCAGCACACTTCTAAATTTTTATATCTGTTTGTAATTTTGAACGTGTTTTTACAGTTTGTGATTTTCTTTTACGTAGAAGTTCTTCTTAATTAAACAATTTAAAATATATCCTAGTAATATATTTTATATATATAATATATCCTATTAATCTGAAATCTTTCACTATTATAGTTCTATTTTTCATTTCCCATAGCTAAGATGTTTGAAAGTTCAGGAAAATCCCTGAGTGGTTACCAGTGGTTTTCCGGTATCACTGCCTACTTCCTTCCATCAAAAGACACAAATGCTCAAGATGCAGCACGGGAAGCATTTTCTTCTCTCAAAGGTGCTTTATTTAGTTAATATGTTATCTTCTGTCATTTAATAGTGTTTTTAATATGGTATTAAGGAAGAATCTGTATTGTTATGTGGTTTTATTACTTTAAGTGTTGTGGTTGTTGGTTTGCCATCTCATTTTGCATTTGATTAGAATCTTTGATATCAAGACTGCCAGGTTTAGTATTTAACACATCATAATTTTACTGTCTTTGAAGACCTTGGAAAACCAGAGTAGTGTTCATATAACAGTAACAACACTATTTCCACAGTATTTGCCCACTTTATAGCTTTCTTGAAATATATACTGTGTGTGAGTATGTATATGTGCTATGGATGCTGTCTGCTTGCTAAAACAATTTTGTAGCTACCATAATTTTAAATTAGGTTTTCTAGAAAGTTGTTGTACATTTTGGCATCTAGGATTAGGTCAGTAGCAGTAAATCTCATTTATATTCCTGACGTAAAGGAGATATTGCTATCCTGGGAATCATGAAATCCATGTTCCTATCCCATCTTACAAGATACTGACTTATAAAATAAAATGTTCATGGTTTTGTTTTGTATTTTTTCATTCTAAAGTTTAAGTATGTTTATATACGTGTCATTCATAAAAAGGAAAATAATTTTTAGTATCTAAATGGTTAAGCTCATATTCTTGTTTATAAATTTGTGTAAGATATCGTCCTATCATATCTTATTTTTTTTGCATGTGCAACTGAGCATTCAGATTTCAATATAGCATGAAAAAGAAACCCTAGAATTTTTTTCGGAAGCAAATTTATACTTGGTAAAAGGTCATTAAGCTAGTTTTTGATTGTTTGGAAATCAGCAAGGTGGATATTTACTAAAAATGACAATAGTTTTTATCTGCATGTAATCTATAAAGTGAAGCAAAAGGGTTGTGCAGTGTTTTATTTTGTTCTCATTATATATGAATGGAAATCTGCAAATACATACTGTATGTATTTTTGCCTTAGCACCTGCCAAAAGAGATTATGTCTTTGACTAGTGCAGTAGCCTATTGCTTTCAGCAGATTACTTGCATTACCTGTATTATTGTAAGGGGGAGAAAAGTAATTTTCTGATCCTTTGTAGAAAATATCAATTCTCACATTTATTTATTCTCTTTTTGGAAGTGAGTGTGGAAGACTGAATGAATTATGGTTCTGTCATGGCAGAAGAAACAATTTGTTTCTGAGAACTTAACCTGCCAGTGGGTTTTTCTGAACTCATAATCTATATAGCAGTTCGGTCTTCAATTCTGTGAGAATGGAATAAGCACAGTCCTTTTAACGTCTTTGCTGGGTTAACTGATTTAATCACCTCTAAACTGGATGAGTGCTGACAAAAGGATTTGGAAATGGAAATTTATTACTAGATGCTATGAAACGTTGTTTGGTAAAACAGATGGAATTCTATGAAGCCGAAGATGGGAGTGAATGTCGTATATTACTATTTATACATTTATTTTCTTAAACTCTTTTGTTAAACTTTTTCTTTAGATATGATAGGAAGATGACAAAGATTGCTGTGCTTTATATGATACAAAACATCTCTGGTGAAGTTTTACCATGGCAAAGTTCCATAGGCTTGAAGGAAACTATATGGATTTCTATTACACATGAAAATTTAGTGAAAAATGCTACTTGCTGTAGACAGTTTGAATACTACATTTTGTGGCTCTCAGCCTAAGGATGCTGGATAACCACTTAATAAAATAAAAGAAAAAGAAGCTGTGCTTCAGCCAATGTAACCTCTTGGGTTAGTTCTGTTTAGCCAGTTTTGCTTAAGTAAGGGTGAGTTTTACCTGATCATATTTTATAAATTATAAGAAACCATGAGTGTCTTGAAATTCAAGAGAAAGACTGTATAGTTTCCCTGTATATTCTGGAGATACACTATGTAAGATTCCTCTTCCTGAGAAACAGAATTTTATGTGAAGAACCCAAGTAAGATTGGTAACCAGTTCACCATTTATGTCTTTATACTAGAGAGAATTCTTTGGGAGTCAATTTTATTCTGATTGAAATCCAGGGAGAAGTTCTTTTCTGCCATTCCTCTAATTCATGCAGTGGGAAAGGCATTGTACTTTTACTTTGCTGATTTTTTTAGATAAAGGCTGAAATTATGAATTCATCCAAATCACTGCCTTCAGCTTGCTCTGTGTCCACAAATTAGAGTCAGTTTGTTGGCTTTTACATTTTAAATTTAGAGTGAGGGTGTTTGTGTGTCAGGACCTATGTGTCAGTTTGTTGGAGGGCTTTTCTCCCTCCAGTATTTCATATAATGCTGCAGAACTTCTAATTGCAGTCCAAGACTCTTTCTTCTTGACTAAAATTCTGGCTGTAAATTGGAAATTTGTCCTTTTTTCCTCCTTAACTGATGACATAGCAGCTGGTATTGACACAGTGATTGCTATCAGGCAGCATTCTGTAATTTGTATTTCCGGACAGAATTGCCATTAAGTGCTGATTTATCAGCTGATATTTTTGGAGATGTATTTTAATTTCATAGGAGTTCCATATCAATTGTTATATAAACTCTTATGTCACTTGTGCACACTTTTGACTTGTGACTATTCTGTCAATGAGACTTACCCTCTTCAGATTGCCAAGTATGGCAGGAGGGCAGTAAAGCTGAGACATTTAGATAAAAATAAAGTATTAGTGTGACCCAACTAATCTTTATGAAAGTGTGCAAATTCCTGAACTGTCTTTAAAAACACTGAGAAGTTTTACACAAAAGCTGTTTCTCATTAAGACAACAACAATCAGGGATTGTCTTTATACTCTTGTAGTTCTCAAATGGAAAACTAATATATATATACATGTACACACTGTAACATTAAAGGGCAAGATCCCAAAAATTACACTGAGGAGAGCTTTACATGACTTATTTAAATTAGGCGACATAGTACGCTGTTATTATATATGTTCTATATTCAAAGAAGCTTTTGTCTTCATTTAGTTTCTATTGCTCACGAGTTACAAAAGATCCACACTACAGAGCTAATCACATATCTTGTTACATGATTGACTATATAAGAGTAATACATTCTCCCTGAGTGCTAGGACTGGAATCTTCTGTGCATACACATTCAGATGATCTTGACTTCTCAGTATCTTTTCTTTAGCTGTCTGCCTGAGCTTTCCTCTGCTCTCATCTTTCCTTCATTTCTCCTGTGGCCACTTCTGTTTCCTATTGTCTGTCTTGCCATTCATAACTCTTTTTTTATGTGAAGATTATTATTGCAGTGAGAGTCTTTAAAAACAGCTTAGACAAGCATCCCTCTGGAATAGCATATAAATATTTGATCTTTTCTTTGAAGAAGGTGATGCACTGAAGGACCTCTTGTTGTCCCTTTCAGTTCAGTACTTTTGTGATGCAAAGTCCTTTGTAGATTCCTAGCTGTCACAGAATAAAGCCCCCACCCCCCACATGGAGATAATAAAACTTACGGATACAAGTAATTTGCACTGTAACATATCTACATGCATGAATGCATGATGTGTTTTCATGGGGCAAGAATTTACCACTGCTTAGACTAGGTAAAATTTATTTTGTATTCTGTTTTTCTGTATTTGGAAAACTAACATGAAATAATTTAATGAAAACAATAGCTGTATATTGGGAAAAGTATGTTGCGAAGTATTCAGTCATATTTAGGCAACGGTTATGTTATTACCAGTTGCTTTTGCTGAACAAACCCAGGATTTGTGTCTTTCTACAAACAGTTAAAATATTATATCTCTAACAGCTATATTATTTTTATCCTGCAGCTAATATGACTTCAGAGGGATTGAAACTGAAGGATATTATTTTGGTTCATCTGTATATGAAGAGCATAAAAGATTTCAGTGTTATAAACTCAGTTTATGAGACAGAATTTGATTTGTGTCCACCAGCAAGGTAGGATTAGACTACTACTATGGTATATTTATGGTACACTGTAATACACTGAATTATTGTTGCTATATTTGTGAAGCATTTTACCAAATGTTTGTGCCTCAAAGACTTAGAAGTAGAGTTTTGTTGCCTTTTGGAGTAATCACATCACAGCTTCTCAAGTCAAAAATACTAAGGATAGAAATTCTTGCTTTAATATATATCATAAGGCTTACAAATACCCCCCATTTGGACTTATAGAAGGATAATACATTGTTTGCAAGTCTTAGTTCTCTGTGGATTGAGTGAACTGACAACTGTTTTATATCACTGGTGTTTTATTTGCTTTCCTTTTTATTTGCATCCAATGACTGGCTAGCAGTGCTTCTCAGAATGCATCCCAGGATATCATCAGGCCTCTTTACCACAAGGGCACATTGTTTGCTTGTGTTCAATTTGGTGTCCATCAGGAACCTTCAGTCACTCTTTGTAAAGCTGCTTTTGGGACAATGGGCCCCCAAAATACACTGGAACTTGGGTTTCTTTTTCCCCAGTTGTAGGACTTTCAGCTTCTCCTTGCTGAACTGGGAGAAGTTCCTGTGTGCCTATTTCTTCAGCCTGTCAAGATCCATGTGGATAGCAACTTACCAAGGGTACACTGTGTCACATCATCCAGGTTGTATGAATGAAGATGTTGAGCAGGACTGGACCCAGTATAGGCTCCTTGGTGTACACCTGTGAAACTTTATGCCACTGATCCTAGCTTCTGGGATGGCCGCTCATCCAGTTTTCAATCCACCTCACTATCTGCTCATCCAGCCCTTACATCAACAGCTTCTCTTTGAGGGTGTTACAGGAGACAGTGTCAGAAGCATTACTGAAGTCCAGGCAGACAGTACTCATTGCTCCCCCCTCACCTCCCAAGCCACTCATTTCATTATAGAAATTCGGTCTGTCCTGGCTTCAAACTCAGCTCCTCTTTAAGTCTTTCCTGGGTGAGGGACTCTCTGCTGAGTGCGTCTGGGTGCTGACAACTGCAGTCCCATGTGCCTGGATGGCATTGACTGGAGAGACTCCAGTGGGTGAAGGCCAGTGCCAGGTTTGGGGGTGTGTGTGTGTGTCTGTGTGTCTGTTTGTGAGTGCAGGGTCTGCACCAGCAACTGCAATGGGGCTGAAGCCTCCTCATATGTCCAGGTAACAGCAAATGGGGAGAGGGGGATCCAGGGGCAGCTGTTGAGCAGACAGAGTGTCTGAGGTGGGCTACTGGGCTGCTTGGACCCCCAGCTTGGGATCCAAGTTGTACGTGTACATGTTTATATTGTTTCTGGTGCAAGTCCACCCTGTGCAGCCAGGGAGGGGAGTGGGTTGAGGCTTTTTGTGATGTCTCAGTTTGTGTGAGGGCTCTGTGTCTGTGACTACATTGATTGGTGTGGCTGACCATGGCTATTTGTATATATGTGGTGCATATGCCTGATCTGTGTGCATGTACCCACTGGGAATACGTGCTTGGCCTGGCTACAGGTTGGAGTGGGTGAATGGAGCTGCGGCAGCCTCACCTCTCTCAGGCTGTTTGATGCAGCCTGATTCCTCCTAACTAATAAGAATACAGAACTGTAGAAAAAAGGAAAACAAAACACTGAGATAAAAGGAAGTAGAAGGGAAATGAAACAATGGAAAAGAGTAAGAAAGCCATTTATTTAAGTTTGTATTATTATATGAGGCCTTTGCAAACTGTAATATGCTTGTTTCCGCATAACTATTATTGCAGTTTATAAAGTGGAAAAAAAAGGACTCTGCCCAGAGTCTTGAGCAATGTAAAGTGTCCCTTTCCCCCAGATCTTCCTGTGTCATCAAACAAAATAGGAAAAGGAAGGGGACCAATATAGCTCCATGACATAGCAGGGAAGCCGTTTTCAACATTTATGGTTGTTTGAGTAAAGAGTCTGAAATTTGTGCAAAAAGTAAAATGGTTGGACTGCTCTAGACCTGTGTTTAATTTAACATTTCCTAGTTTGGAGAAAAGTAACAAGTATTGCCAAGGTTTAATTTGGCATCCTTTTTTAAAGCTGTTCCATTTTTTTTCCAGAATTTGAATGTTAAACTTAAAAACTGGAAAGAAACTTCCAGCAAGAAAGGGCTTTTGATTTATTCTTATAGAGCGGAGAAGCCATCAAATAGTTCTTTAAATATTTGTTTTCTAAACAACGTTGCAGGGAATTAAGATGTCAACCAACCATACTTGCAGACATCTCCAATTCTGAATCTAAACTGTTTTTCTGAAAAGAACTCAAAGTAGAACATGGAAGGCTGTAAGTTGAAAAGAGAGTAAGATGAAGCAGAGACATGAGCGAGACCTCCAGTTTGACTGGTGGTGGTTTCCCTTCCCGAGAGGGAAGACCAAAGCGGATTAAAGATGAGCAGGTTCCAAGTGATTAGTTCAGTTTATTACATTCTCAGCTGAATCCCTCTTTGTCTGTGTGCTTCTCTGGCCTTCCCTCCTGCTCAGAGAATCAAAAAGTTAATTACTGTAATTTGCAAAATGTACGTACAGTGCCTTAGTACGTGGAAATCATGGAGGTGGGTCTGAAACACTGCAAGAGTGCCTTGGCACCTCACCACCACTTTTGCCATTCTTCTTTATTTCAGCTCTATGCGATGTGTCTGTTTGCAATTCCGTTGTTTTTTGTGCTAAGTAGAAAAAGGTGGCTGCTCCTAATTGTCTCCTAGCTCTACACACAGGTTTTACTCCTGTGTCTTTTGTTTATCCTCTTCCTTCTGATTGCAGAAAATCATTCTGTGCAAAAAAATTACCTACCTTCGTCATTTAGCTAGCATTCAGGAGGGCTCAGCAGGACAGTACTTTGAAACAAAGATCCTTTATTTTCACTACACTGGTAGTTAACTAACTGTATTTTCATATTAAGATGGAAGTTCATAAGATTTTGCATTTTTCTGAGTTCTCCATTGCTCCATGGGAGCTTCTAGCTGCTGAGCAATTTTGAAAATCTGGTCGTGTGTAAGGGAGAATCAAAACTTTAGAAGTACTCATATATAATACAGTTATTGCTGTTTTCTGAAAATGTGAATTTATATGGAAGTTGAATAAATATAACAGTGGTTATTGTCATCATATTATTTTTCATTTACCAGTGATACATCTGTGCTTTCTGGATATTGAATGTTACCTGATAATAAAATTCTGCTCTAAGTCACTCTTACCTAAGTAAACTTAAGAGTGAAACTTTAGTCTGTTGAATTCCAATTATGATCCTAAACAGACAGTATTGATATACTGAGCAAGGGTAGGGTAAGAAATTTAGCAAAGTTATAAGAGTCTTTTTAGAGACTGCAATTATTATTTGCTATGAAGTGTAGAAGTATTAATGAAGTTTCACCCTGAAAACCCTATTGTTGCATATATAAAAACAGAGCCTAGAGAATGCTGGAATACAAAAATTAGATGTAACCTTTAAAAGATCCAAGGAGGTGAAGGGGTAAAGAATCAACACAACACCAATTGATTAAATACTGGGTCTTATTTGTTTCATATCCCTTAGGTTTTCCAGGGGGTATTCTTGTATTATATGATAACTCCGTTAAAACTGAAAGATTATTGTGGTAAGTGCAAAAGCAGCCACTTACTTGAGATTTATTTCAGGATTTTTATTTGTTTACTTTAATTTTTATTTGCTAAACGTATTTGTCAATTACCTGTGGTCCTTTAAACCAAGCATATAAATACGCTTGATGGTCAAGTTGAAGGCCACCACATAAAAGAATTCAAAATAACTTTCAATAGACTGGAGGACTACTGTCTCCTGCAGAGTTCTTACGTTCTAGGGAAGTCTTGCAGTAGAAGTGTCTGCTGTGTGTGTATCGTAGGCCTGATACTCGGCTGTATTGTGGGCGCATGCGAGACGGGAATATCCACAAGTGCGTGAGAAGTTTCTACTCTGGCTGAGCTGGCAGATGTTTGGAGAGGTCCAAGTACAGAATAAAATTTATGGACAGAAGACAGTGAAAACAAAAGTTAAAAAATGATAGGCCTGTTTATGCAACCTGTTTTTTCTTTCTGTTCCCCACTCATTCAACTGAGTGTCATAGACTTCTGAAATTTATACCAACCTATGATTCACTGTAAAGCTCTATGCAGAGCCTTCTGAAGACTCAGAGGAATTTTGGCTAGGAAACCAACTCTCTTTCCTCAACAATTGAGGACCTGGGATTCTTCTGAGTCATTTTTGATGAGAGAGTTTGTTTTCTCAGCAAAAATGCCTTTGGCTTTCAGGGGGTTTAATAACAGCAATTAAAAATGTTTTATTAGTTTGAGAGAGATTCCTCATAGCATTCCCCTAAAATAATTAAATTTCCACTGTAGGTATAGATGCAGGTGAAACTTCCCTATGGCACTGGACTAGGTGATGTCCTAGTTGTAATTTTCGTTCCATTGTCTGTGACTATTTCAATTTTTTGTTCCAGTTGGAAAAGCAATTATACCAAACACATTGCTCAGTGGAATTGAACCATGGGACTGCATTCAGAAAGTACACTTTAGGTCTGCTTTCTGCAGTTTGCTCTCTGCTCTGGATGGCAGCACAACTCTCTGGTGTTTCAGCCACTCCTTCCAGTTCTTCAGACTTGCCAAGGGTACACTGTGTCCATTCATCCAAATTATGAATGAAGATGTTGAACAAGACTGGACCCAGTATAGGCTCCTCCAGGGTGTTCACCTATGAGACTTTGTGCCACTGATCCCACCCTCTGGGCCTGGTTGTTCATCCAGTTTTCAGTTCACCTCACTGTGTGCTCTTCTGGTCCATATATCAACAGCTTCTCTTTGAGGATGTTACAGGAGACAGTGTCAAAAGCATTACCAGTGCCTTAGTACCAATGATTATTAAATCTTTCTTAAAGTGATTATGTTTTGAAACTTCTAGGTGTTTGTGACAAATGTTCTATTTATTTTTTTAAATACAAAACCAAAATAGTTAACTTAGGAATTGCTTAAGATTCACATCATGAGATGTGATCCAATACGGTTGTTCTTCATTTCTTGTGTTTCCATCAGATAATCAGTTTTAGTGAACTTACACATTCAGTAAGAATACAATGTGAAACGTAATTACAGTGATGCTAACTGTGAATCTTTTATTCATAGATTCCCAAAGCATAGTATTTTTAATATCCGTTGTAAAAAATCTTGTATGTTGCATGTAAGTCTACCTCTGAGACTGCTTGATGATCTAGGTGTGCAGTATGTGACTGCTATGTTATTTGGGTGTGGTGGGTTTGTTTTTCACTGGAAATTGGATAACAAACACCTAACCCATAAAATTTTTGGTTTGTTTTTTTAATAGTTGTGTGTTAAAACTAGTTTTCCATTTGTATTTCTTTATTGCCTTTATTAAGAGGGCTTGTTTCTTGTTACAGTAATTTGTGTTCTTATGCATCTGAGATAATGTGCTGAGAATGCAATTGCTATAGCTTGAAAAATTCCACTTGGGTCATAGGGTAATACAGGTTGCAAGGGACCTCTGGAGGTCATATAGTTCAATCCAGTGCTCAAAACAGGGTCAGCAATGAGGTCATACCTCTTGTCTTCTTCATACTTTTGAAACCAACTGTTTAGCAATTTTCTAATGTAAAATACTATATTTTGTATTCTTCTTTCAGAATATAAAGTGTAGTAGAAGAACGAGAATTTTAAGTATAGCAAGACAAGTACTTGAAAGACATTGTTAAGATAATCATAGACTGACATTCCCCTACACTGTCTGGGTGTCAGACTCAAAGGCGGCAGGAAGAGGCTTCTTCAAGATACTGATTGTAGACCAGGATTACTAAGTCACAGAGGAATGGGAGTGTTGGCTGTGTGTGCCTTCAGGGAGGAATCAGTTGCCAGCCACGTGGTCATGCATCAGTAAAGTAACAGGTAGGAAGATTAGAAAGTTACAGGAAAGTGGCTTTTTATGATTATTATTATGGAACAAAGAGATTTCATAGAGTCATATAATATCCTGAGTTGGAAGGGACCTACAAGAATCATCAAAGTCTGGCTCCTGGTCCTTTAAAGGACAGCCCCAAGAATCACCATGTGACTGAGAGTGTGGTTCAAATCCTTCTTGAACTCTTGCAGTCTTGTTTCCATGACGACTTCCTTGGGGAGCCTGTTCCAGTGGCCAATCACCCTCCTGGGTGAAGAGCCTTTCCCTAATATCTAACCTAAATCTCCTGTGACACAGCTTCATGCCTTTCCCTCAAGTCCTGTCACTGGTCACCACAGAGAAAAGATCAGTGTCTGCTTCTCTTTCTCCACTCATGAGGAAGTTGTAGACCGCAATGAAGTCTCCCCTCAGTCTTCTCTTCTCCAGGCTGAACAGACCAAGTGACCTCAGCTGCTCAACTTCCGCTCAAGACCCTTTACCATCCATGTTGCCCTCCTCTGGATCTCTCCAGTAGCTTAATATCTTTCTTATATTGTGTTGCTCAAAACTGCACACAATATTCAAGGTGAGACCACACCAGTGCAGAGCAAAGCAGGACAATCCCCTCCCTCAACCAGCTTGTGATGCTTTGCCTGATGCCCCCCAGGACACAGCTGACCCTCCTGGTTGCCAGGGCACTGCTGACTCATGTTCAACTTGCCATCAGACAGGACCCCTGGGTCCATTTCAACGTCATTTCATCCATGTTGCATTTTTGTTTATGTCGCATATTTATTTATGTTGCATTTTGTCCTGAAGAAAAATTATACAGCGGTTTGCATGGTTGCATTATTGCATTATGCACAGAGTCCTGGTTGTGGGAGTTCTCACAAGCAGTACGCTGGAAGCACTGACTTAAGGGTGTGGATCTGCACTAAATTAGCAAAATTGTCTTGAAAATTTACCAGCCCAAGCAGAAAATCCAATCTTCCGTGCCTATGATAATGATAATGAGGAAAAAATATTATATTTGCATGTGAGAGGTGGGGATAAAAATGTTTTTAGAAGAAATAAACAAGAATATAGCTTGGAAGAAATAAACAAGATGAGAAGAATTTTACAAGGTTATGTCACATGATATGTAAAGACAAGTAATTTTTGGTTGGATTGCTGCTGGGAGCTGAATGTCTTTTTTATGCATGGACTGCAGACATAATTATTTTTCAGGCTTTGAAATGTTGATTTCCACACACACACACCCGAACCCCCTGCTTTTTCACTGGCCACATGCAACAGACTGTCTGTCTGTCCATCAAGGCACTCAGTTTTCCTGAGAGGAAACAAAAAGGAACTTTATAAATGAGTACGGAAGCAGGTTTTAAACCCTGTCATATGTATGTATCACTTAAAGTATAGCAGAAAAATATGCTCACTATTACATGATAACATGTGAGAAAGGTGTAAAGGAACTATAAACTCCTGCTTTTTCAGACAACTTTGACACTGTCTTTCACAACATCCTCACGGGCAAAGTCAAGAAGTGCAGACTGGATGAGTGGACAGTGAGGTGGGTTGAGAACTGGATGAATGGCAGATCCCAGAAGGTTGTAATTAGTGGCACAGGGTCTAGTTGGAGGCCTGCCACTAGTGGTGTTCCCCAAGGTTCAATACTGATCCCAGTATTGTTTACCTTACTAGTCAATGACTTGGTTGACAGGGTAGAGTTCATGGACAACAAACTGGCAGGAGTGCTCTAGAGTGCTGTGCAACCCTTCAATTAAACAGGTTGAAGAGATGGGCAAAGAAGAACTGTCTGAAATTCAACAAAGGCAAATGCAGGGTCCTGCACCGGGGGAAGAATAACCCCAGGCACCAGTACATGCTGGGGGTGTACTTCTGGAAAGCAATTCTCTGGAGATGAAGCTGCAGGTCCTGTTGAACGACAAGCTGTCCATGAGCCAGCAGTGTGCTCTTGAGGCCAAGAAAGCAAATAGTGTCCTGGGATGCATTAGGAAGAACATTGCCAACTGGTCAAGGGAGGTGATCCTGCCCCTCTGCTCAGCCCTAGTGAGATGCATCTGGAGTGCTGTGTCCAGTTCTGGGCTCCTCAGTGCAAGGAGGAGCCCAGATAAGTTGCTCCTGGAGCGTGTCCAGTGGAGGGTGACAAAAGTAATTAAGGGAATGGAGCATCTCTCATACAAGGAAAGGCTGAGGGAGCTGGACCTGTTTAGCCTTAAGAAGAGACAACTGAGAGAGGACCTCATCAATGTCTATAAGTGTCTCAAGAGGAAGGAACCAGGCTCTTCTCAATAGTGCCGAGGAATAGGACAAGAGAGTATGGGCAGAAACTGATACACAGGAAGGTCCACCTGAACGCGAGAAAAAACTTTGTTTTTGTGCAGGTGTCTGAGCGCTAGAACAGATTGCCCAGGGAGGTTTTTGGAGTCTCTGACTGGAGACATTCAAGAACCATCTGGATGCAATTCTATACCCTGTGCTCTAGGATGAGCCTGCTTGAGCACAGAGATCAGACCAGATGACCATTGTGGTCCCTTCCAACCTTACCCATTCTTCGATTCCATGATTCAGTGAAACTGAACCTCTAGACCAAACACTGGAAGCAAATTCAGTGACAAATGTCAAAAAAGACTGCTTTGCATAACTTACCTGGCACTTCCAGAGTAGTGTGGTCAAGGTTTTTTTTAAAAAAAATGATGAATTCTTAATAAAGTAATACACATTAAAAATAAAATAAAATAAATGAGCCATTGGCTGTGGTGCTAGTTTCTCCTTGGTAATGGAAATTATCTTGCTGGAAGTATGAAGCTGATCATTATTTGGAGAGCAGATAAGTGTTAATGCTAGCAGGTTGTTGTGATACCCTAACTTTTGTTATATATTCTTGGCAAAATTTCCTAACATACTATCCAGACCAAAAAAACATGGAAAATCGGTGTTGAAGGCTGGTGCAAGCAAGCTTACTGTTTGAAAAAAACAATTCTCCTGTGTTTTCAGAGTATGTGTTGAAATGCCATTACCTGATGGAGTACTGTTTTGCATTGACTGCCTTGCACATAAGTACGACATTGCAACGGATGATGTGTTACATGATGAAAAGCTGGTCATGCATGTACAGAGCATTTCCCACTGGGCACCTGCTAGCATAGGACCTTACAGTCAGTCCATCAAGGTAGGGAATTTTTTTACTTCATGGGAATTATATGTCTGTTTTCTGAAATAAATACAGTTGTAAAGTCTCTTTCTCCCCCATCTGAATGTGCAAAAGAAAATGAGTTAAAAAAAAGAAACCAAATTAAAAATGAGCATTTTTCATTTATGTTTTTAAAACTTATGGAAAACTTAACTCTCATCTGTCTTTTGTTTTGTGATAATAAAACTGATTAAAGTATTCTTTGCAGAGAATCTCCAAAACAGCATACCTCTGTTGTATATTGTAATTAGACAAAAAACTGTGTCTCATATATACTTTTATAATCTGCCTAGAATATAAACAGAATTTAGGAACAGCTATTGCAATGTCCTTGTTAAAGCTCAAATGTTATTTATAGGTAAGTCAATCCTAAAATGCTTATTTAATGAAATCCTTCTTGAGGCTTGTGGTACTACCTAACCATTTAAAACAAAAGCAAGGTTGAAGAACTGTTCTTTTTCCCAAAATAATAACAAACTGAACTGAATATTACATGCTACTTAGAAGTATGAAAAGGAGGCAGTAAAGTATCATGGAAAAGTGGGTCAAAATTTGTATAAAAAGATTTTCTCTTAATATTGTATTTCTTGCCCAGCTAGTACCATTCTGACAACTAGTGAACTCTCTCAACCTTTTCTGTTGCAAAATATATATATATTCTTATCTTACCAATGCTCCTCTTCTGTAATACATTGTCCAGTCTTGCGCAGACTGATCTAAGTGACGTGGTATGACATCTGTTTAAATTTCCTGAAACTTCTTTGAGTCTGCAAACCCATCTAGTATAATGGCCATGAAATTTCACTTTGTTTTGTCTTTGTACTATTTTATGGACGATTTTAGGAATAGTATTTTGCTTCAGGAGCTCATGTGGAATTTGTTTCATTTTTAGGAAGAAATGTTGGTGAATTACTGCTCTATGAATTCTGTTCTTATAGGAGGGTGGAGTTTTATCATTTATGTATATCCATTTTTCTTGGTTTATTAGACTTTATTCCATTCAATCTTACAGCTTAATGATCATAATTGTAATGTGTCATGCATAATCCTGCAAAGATAAAATTTAATAAGCTTTGCATCTTTGTTATTTGGAGAAACTTCCCTAATACAACTTTTATACAACATAGCAGCTAATCTGTATGTCATGGAACTGGCATCGACTAAATCTGGAAAAGGGAGTGAACTAACAATTGTTTCAGTAACCCAGAGAACAAGCTTATGCTGCAAATGGACAATAAGTAGACACTGCCAGATCTTCTGGTGGTATGGGACAGTCAGCATACCCAAGGGAAGGTTCATATCTCTTCAGATATAGTGTAACCAGTAACATTGGTCAACAAATCCATCATTAGGAAAAAAACTTTCTACTGGTGTGTTTTGTTTTGCTTTATTTTCTTTTACCCCCAAAGGAACATTTTAGTCAAACAACATTATTTTCCTATGAGGTGTAAAATAAGTATTTTTGCTTTTAAAAACTGATTACCACAGGAGTAAAGTAACAGTAGTGAAAAGCTGAACTTCTGCTACAGGATCATTCAATTGTCATCGTTTATGGCTATGTTCTGTATCTAGTCCACAAACACCTCTATGGGGAATGGTAGGATACGTGCCAGCAATATTTTTAATTTTCCTTTGCAGATTTTGCCTTACTACTACCAACAGTGCATTTCATCTGAGTGTCAATATTAAACATCCTGGGTTTGTCTTGCTAAGAATATTTTGACTTTTTGGTAACATATTTCTATTCTGCAGAGCTTGACCCAATACATATCAAATGTACTGGAATAAGTAAACATTTCACTTAAAGTTTTTAATATTTAAATGTTTTTCTTTCTAAAATAGCATGTATAGGATATAACCTGTAAAACCTTTTCATAAGAATACATCATAGAAGTTTATGTGTATAAGCACATAAACAATGTATTTGAATTTTAAAATTTATTAATGGAAGAGATAGGTTTTGTATCTTCTTAAACATGAATTTTCCAAAATTAAAATCTACTTTAGATGTGTTTTTAGAACTTCCTGGGCCTATGTATGGACAACTTTATACTTAGTTGTCTTTATACTCTTAAGTTCACCAGCTGAAATAAGCACTTCAGTATATTTAAGGAATGGAATATATTTTTCAGAATAATTAAGGAAGGAACAAAAGTCAGTTTCTTATCTTTATAATAAAAAATATTTCAAATTATAATAATTTTATGATGATCAAATGTTTATAATTTTTTTATGTTTTAGGAACAGAAGCTTAATGTTCTTAAAACAGTAAATGGTTATTAGCCTTATGTTGTGTATCTGTAGGGTTGGTTTATCTTTTGCTTGACAACAATTGGACAATTAAATTTTTGTCTTTTCAGTCCAATATGAAGTTTTCTGGACACTAGATAATCATCATGTATTTTTGCACAGTGTTTTTGCAAAGTTCAGAATATATCAAAGACTAATATTCAGGGATTGATGTGCGCTGGCATGTAAGAGGAGTGGAAAGATGTAAGTAGTTCATGCAAACTATGGAATTCACACTTCAGGCTCAAAAATCAGCAGAACATCAATTCTGTAGGGACCATGCAGGATCCTGCCAGCAGTCCTGTGGGAACAAAAAGTCAAAATTTGAAATTTACCAGGAGAATGTCCTAACCTCAGTCTGATAGACACCAAACAACTCTGGCAGAATGAAATTAGGATTTTCAAAGTATTTATAGCAAAAATCTTCCTCTTTTGAGATTAACATTCTTTAAAAACATCTTCAGTGTTTCTGCTTGTAAGAAGTAGACAGAAACTGTTCAAAGATACAATAAGACTGACTTTCTTATAAATAAGAAAAGCCTGAGATCGTTTAATATGATTTTCCTGGTCCAGCTCCACCAGTCTTAATGTCTGTGTCAGCAACTGATGTAAGTTACATCAGTTCTTGTAAAGGCTGATTTCTGCTGATTTCACCAAGGTAAAACAAGTATTCTGATTATGTCTTTCTAATAGTAGTAACATAGGCTATCCAGGCTGTCCAGCCTGGGAGTACATGATGATGCACGATTTTTCTTCCTGCAGATCTTTGCTCTGCAATGAACACCAGCCCAGTTTGTGCTAGTCATTGATAGTAGCTTGGTATTTTTACTAGAGATACTTCATGTTCTTACTGGGTTTTATCACATGATTATTTTATTTTCATGATTTAATTCTGTTTTACCAGCAGATTAGAAGATTTATCAGGACTAAGCAGTAATTGATAGCTTGTATAGAAAAAGCTTACTTATTGTCTTCAGAAAAGCAAACAACACAGCTCTACATTAGTGAGTTAAACATGAAGATGCACTGCAAAGCAGTATTTGGAGTGAGAAATTTATACTGAGACCTTTCATGATTATTTATTTTGTGAAAACACTCTTTGAGCTTTTATGAACTGTGAACATAGTTCATTTAAAAGGGATTTTAAAAAAAGCCCCACGCAGCTGAAACACTAACCACAAATTTTTGCCTAAGAATGCATGGAAAGTTGACAGTGTTTATACCAGATGTTCTTCTAGTATGTTAATGTAATTTAAAAGTCTATTTGCACCTACAATTTGTTTGCTTTGGAAAAGTTTCTTCATGTTTTTCTATCTAGAAATTAAAAAAATAAACTACCACAGTAGAATTTATCATACCTCACATTCTACAATATTTTTTCATTGTAACATAATGTATTTTATACACATACCAAGATATATGCATCTGTTACTTGATTATGTCTGTTGAACCTTTTAGCTTTTCCTTGTGACCTCAGCTCTTTCCCTCTGAGAGCTGTCAAATCCCAGTTTGAACAATCCTTCAGGCATCTTTTTCTCAGTTTTTAACTCTGCACTATCTTAACCCAGTAGCTTCCTTCCCATCTTTTTCCTTTTGTGAGTCAACAAAAGTATATTAAGTTATACCATATCTAGTAATATGGGGATAGAATACCTGAAGCTTCCAGTCTAAATAATGTTCTTCTGGGATTGATAGTTGGGATGATATTGTTAGCATTTTAGTCAACTACTTGGACAATAACACATCTAGCAGGATTGTGGATGACAGTAATTTGGATAGGCTTGGAGGGGCAAGGCTGTCATTTGGAGGTACCCAGACAAACAACTGAGAACAAAAGCCTCATGAAATTGAACAGAAAAAAAGGAAAAGTCCTGCAGCTAGGACAGAACAGTCCCATGAAGCAATGTAGGAAGGGGACTGACTCCAGAGTAGATCTACAAAGAAGTAACTAGAGGTCATGATTGTCAGCATTCTAAATGTTAATTGGAAGTTCACCATTGCAGCAGTGAAGGCTAACTTAATACAAGGCAGAACTGGCAGGGTTGTAGCAGTCAGGTCTTCAAAACCTGACTCACAAGAGCCTCAACAAACTGTTTTAATGTCTTAGTCCTCCTCTAAGCATAAGGTTGAATTAGGTGTCTCTAACAGCCCTTTCCAACCTATTTTTTTTTTCACATTCTACACTTAGTATTAAAATTACAGATTTACTGACAGAGTAACAGAAAGGAAACATTGTAATTATAGAAAAAAAGAAGTCCTTAGTATAAAACTTGCTCTTTACGAGGTAGAGATCATTAATGGTGCTGTACGAAAGAGTGCTTAGGACACTAATTTTTCGTAGATGAAAGCAAGCAAGTTGCACTCTAGTGCCACTGGCATGCCCACTCTTGTGTACTAAACCTCACCACGAATATAAAAGTTGTTGTAGTTGCTTCCCTAGCCATTACCAGAAAAAAAATATGTGTAACTTTAGGGTTACTTGAAAACTGTTCTAAATTGCATGTAAACTGTAAGTATGCAAGTCAGCAAACAGTGGGGCAAAACTGAACTCTGCATCTTTGCAGTTCATTCTTGTTATGTGTCATATGCTTCTTAGCTGACGATTAACAAACCTGACTATAAACATTGTATTTCTTTAGTACCATTAGACAAAATGTGGATTAAAGCTGTCTGCTGCCACTGAGGGATGT